GTCAGGGCGCATTGGATTTCCGCCATGGTGCCAGTCATAGCTGGTATCTTTTGACCAGTGAACTGTTCAAAGGCCAAGGGGGCAAAGGGCAATAATTGGCCAATGATAGTTATTAAGTTGGATTCGGGTTTTTTAGTGGTAGCAGTTGGTTTTTTTGTCCACAAATTTCACCATTATTAGTTGCTGGTTGGTCGTGCTGATTAGCTGTTTTGTTTTCTTCAAATAAAGGCATAATATTACTGGGCTAAATTAATTAAAGTATTGAGACCAAAAGCTAAACCGTCAACAGTGGGTAAGTGTTTTAAGTAGTCATTATTTTTAAAATGTTGTCCATAAAAATAAAGTGCTACACAAACTGCTGCTACTATTAGCAAAATTATTTTCTGATCCATCTGATTTATTTCTTTTTACTTTTTAGTTGGTATTTCTTAACTATCTGTTCATTGAGAGCTTGCTTTAGCTTGGTAAACGGTTTAAAGTTTAAGCGGCAGTAAACATAATTTTGACCATCTCAACCACATTTTTGTTTGCGTTCTTTTTTGGTGAATTTACCTAAGCGACCTAATTTAATACTTTGGCCATCTTTAATGGCTAGTAGTGAATTAATCAAGTCTTCTTGGACTAACTGATAGGCTAATTTAATGTCTTGCTGAGTGTAATGGTTGGCTTTCATTGAAAATAATAATGGGTTGGGGTTGAGTTTTTTTTAATTTTGGGTTTAGTGGGATAATTGACAATCAATCCACTTTCATTATGGTTCATCTTAATTACGTTTTGTGGTGTAGTTCTAAAGGGGAATTGGGAATTCTAGGTAAAAGTGGGGCAGGCACTGAGTACTTAGGGGTTAAAAGTGGTCTAGTAGTAGCGATTTAAAAATTAAAAATATGGAGTTAAAAGTAGCTAATTTTTTGAATCGAACTCAAAGAAACTCAAAGTGGGCATCAGATTTTAAGTTGTCAAATTGAGGGTAAACATTGACGAGGCTTTTTAGAAGTCAGAGAAGGAAAACGAGAAAATGGTGAAACTTATACTTACAAAAGTGCTCAGATGAGACCGTGTACGTGGGAGAATTGTAAAATATGTAAGCCAGAAGTGGAGATTGTTTAGGGATTATTTTTTTATTAGTAGTTTTTAGACTTTATTTCGTAATTTTTTTAAAACTTTTTTCTCTTTTTGGTTAGTTTTTTTTGCTTAGTTACTTCCAAGCACTCATCTTTTTCGGCAAAAAGACAAACTGAGTTCTCAATAATTGGAAAAGTTTCTTTACTACTGGGTCGATAAATTTTATGATTAGGATCAAAGATTAAGGCTTGAAAACTATTAGTTGCCCCCTGATATTTTATTTTTTTCAAAATGCCAAATAGGCGGGCTTCCTTACCCAGTGGGATTTGTCAAATCTGTTTTCGTTCTAAGTCATTAATGGCTTGGGTTTTTCAACCGAGCAGTTCCCCAATTCGAGTTTTCATATACTCGGCTTTAACTTGGTGGCAATTGTCGATTTCTGCGGCTTTTTCTTCAAAATCATGAGTGCTAAAGAGCTCGAGAGCAGTTAATAATTCGGCTAATATTGCTTTAAATTGGTTTCTTTTAACAGTATTAGTGAAACCATCCTGATGAAGACAACCAATTATCATCTCACTAAAATCAAAAAATGTTTTCGGCACTAGTTCTAAATTCGTAAGTAGTTAGTGATAGTTTCCAGTTTTATTGGTTGGTATTTAAGACTATCGTTTAAGGGTTTACGAGTTATTTTCCAAGCTCTATCTTTGGCTTTTTCGGCAAAAGTTAGTTCTCTTTTTCTTTCTTCATGTTTTTTATATTGCTGATAAATGTTTTCTAAATGTTGGCTGACTTGCTTGTTGATTATGTTTGGATACTTGTCAAACAATCCTTGATAAGTTCCCTGACGACGAAAATAGTTGTGCATTCTGAGAAAAACTGAGCCTAAAGTAGGACCAGCTCGTCAGGCTTGAAATTCTTCGCTAAAAAGTAGACATTTTTCTTTTTTTAATACTTCTAAATAAGAAAGATAAAGTAAGTCTTGCATAGTGGAATTAGTTTCTATCCCCCTTTCATAGAAAAATTTAGCCACTGAGAGCGGATTAAGACCTAAGGACGGTAATAAGTTTAGCTTTAAGCGATGAGGTTTAATAACTACTGCCATGATATAAATATAATGCTAACTATATATAATGATTTTTATTAATTAATTATATTCGACCTACTTTATTGGAGCAAATTGGTAGCTCAAACTGTGTATTTTGAGATATATTTGCCACCTTTTATTGCTGTAATATGTTTCTCGAAATCAAAATCAGACATGTGTCCGACCCCACAACATCTGCTCGAACATTTTCCTCAGGTAGCAAATTGTCGCAAAATTGCATAACATTCACTATGATTAGTGGCAGTATTTAAACAAATAGATCTTTTTGGATTAAAAACTACTTTGGCAAAGCCGAGTTTTTTTCAGCAAACATAACATTTTTTTAATTTATTCATCTATTGTGACATTTTTTTTTTGTTGGTTAATTTTATAGTCATTTTACTTATTTTTTTTACACTGGTCTAAACTTGACCAAATTATTTAAATCAGAATCTTTAATATAAAGGGCAGTGGTAGAAATTTTGCTATGTCCCAATACTTTTTGTAAAACAGGTAAAGGCATCCCCGAAATAGCCTGATAAGTAGCAAAGCATCTGCGTAAAGTATGGGGTGCTAATTCCACATTAACCGGTAAGTTCAGTTCTTTTTTGACTTGACTTAAAAAATCAAAAAAACTAATCCGATTAGTTTGCTGGGGTTGTCAGTTTCTTTTTTTTAGTTCTTTTACTATTTCTGGGGCAATAAAAACTCATCTTTCTTTAGCTCTTTTGCCGCGGAGTAAGTAGAGGTTTTTGTATTCGGGTTGTTGATGTTCCAAAGCTAAGTCAAAATTGATGGCTTCGGTTATTCGTAAGCCAACTTTTCAACCTAAGAGGAATAAGCATTCGTGAGCAGGTTTTTTGCTTTCACCTTTTTTGTTGGGTCTGGTTAGGATATAGTCTCAAACTTGCTGTAACAATTGATTAGTCGGTAAAATGGTGAGCGGTTTTTTAGTTCTAACCAGTTCTTTTTTAGTTCTTATTTTTAGTTCTGATTTGGTTGGTTCCATGTTCTTAATTGAGTGCTGGTTCTGACTTAATGGCTAATTTTGTTAGGAATTGGCGATCAGTTTTTTAATCTTCAACCGCGGGTTCTTTTTTCGTAAGTGAAGAGGTATTTTTTATTGTGATAAGTTTCAGTTTCTAAAGTAGTTCAGATTTCTTTACTGACTAAATTAGGAAAAGCGTAAAGAGTTTCTTTTTGACTTTTGGTAAATAAGTTGCTGGAGTTTATTTCTAAATAGTAAAAAGATTGACCTTTATAGGGGCTTTTACTGGTTACTTGACCGCAAAAGCAGTGGTTAATAGTGCCAATTAGTTGGTGGAGTTTGCGGGGTTTAGTCATTTTTTTCTTCTTTTTTGGTTTCTCAATCGTCCAGTAAACTTAAAATGCCTACTTCCAGGATTATTGGTTGGCCCCAATCATCCAGTTTTTTGTCTTTTTTATTTTCTAGCAAGGTCAGGGCTTCTTTTAGTTTGGCTGATAGGTCATAGTAATAAGTGCTGTCTCACATTTCCGAATTATCGGGTTCGATTACTTTGTTCCGGATTTGCTCAATAACTTTGGCTAAGGTTGTTAGTTTTTTTTCAATTTGGTTTGCTAATTCTTTTGGCATATTAGAATGGTCATTTTTGTTAAGTTAGACTAGGATTTGGTTGGTTTTTATTGGTCTAACTTAACAATTGTGGTTATTTTGTTAAGTAATTAGTTCTTGTTTTTGATAGTCGGCTCAATGTTCTTGGACTTTGGGGCAGACATATTGCTCGGCGGGATCTTCAATGGCTCGCAAACAACCTCAACAGCCATTTTTATAGATTTGTTGGAACATTTATACTATTTCGATTTGTTGGACTTTACAAAAAGTGCCTTGATTATTTTGGTTGGGAAGTTCTTGGTAAGTGATTAAAACTTGGCGATTAATGAAGTTGTGGGGAGCCTGAGTTAAAGTAGCTAAGGTTGCTTCGTTTAAACTGAAACTAAAAGCGTAAAAATAGCGATTAGGTAAGCCTTGTAAACTGAGGCGGAAGTAAGGATTATTGTTTTTATCTGATTTGGCTTCAATAGCAGTGATATGGGTTTTAATTTGTAATTCTTGGGGCATGTTTTTATAATTCAATATCGATTTGGGGTTGCGGTCGTTGGCAGTGCTGACAGGGTTGGCCGGTAATTATTCTTTGTTTTCACTGGAAGAGAATGATTTCTTTGCAGGGTTTTAACTTTTTACACTGCGGACATTTGATTTGGAGGAGATAGAGGGATAAAATGGTGAGGAGCAAAGCTCCGAGGGTGATTCCGAGGAGGAGGGTGAGGAGGATGGTTAGCATAGATTTTTTTTGATTTATTTGGGCAGTGTGCGTCCAACACCGCCCACCTATTTTATTACCTCATTGAGTATTACCAGTAGTGGCGGGAGCTTTAAAATCTTTAGCCCTCTTGTTTAAGGGATGATTACCTAGTCAGCTACTCAATGAGTGAGAAGAACTGCGGACTTTTTAGTCCACTAACTAGGCTCAGATGTTTCCGTCAACAGCATGGACTACTGCTAACAGTTAGTGTCGCTAACTTATACTGGCGTTCTTCCTTGGTAAGATTTTGCGTAATTAGAGTAATTCATAGTTCAATTATCTAAATATTGGTTACGGGCTCGGGTTTCACAACCACAAAGACCAGCTAGTTGTTGAGTGGTTTGGTGTTTGGTGTCGTGAGTGATGGGGTAGGAGTAGAAGGTTTGGGATTCTTCCATATCGTAGTCTTGGGCGTAAGTGTCAAGGTTATTTATGAATTGCCGCACGACAGCCGCGTTTTCGGATAAAAATTGGAAGTGGAGGACTGGTTTAGTTTGAAAATGGGTGTAGATTAAGTTGTCACAAGCCCCTTTTTCTTTAAAAACCCGGTCTTGTTCTAAGGGTAAATGGAGGAATTCCGCTTTATTACAGAGCAAAAGGAGACGGGTGATTAAGAATTCCTGAAAATCCTGCTGAACAGTTGGATTTTTGGGCTTTTTGAGCGAATAAACTTCTTTTTTGCTATGTTTAGTGGCTAAACTAAGCAGGGATAAAGGGTTTAAAGAACGAGTGCCAAGGCGATAGTTTTTTTTAATCAGAGTCGGGTTAGCACATTGGCCGCTTAAAGTTTCGTTGGTGCGATAAAAATAGGATGTTTGCTGTGTTTGATAGTCATAATAGCGAAATACTTTTTGATTTTTCGGGAGATGCTGACCAGTTTCGGCATCCAGTTTGTGTTTAGTGATTAGTAGAGCTGGTTTTTCTTGGTAATCATAAAGATTTTTAAAAAAACGATAAGTTTTGTGATTGTCTTTTAAGCCGTATTGAGCATAAAGAGAACGTAAATGGAAGGACTTACTGAGATACTTGGCTAAGTAAGAAGAGATAGTTTTGTATCCTGGTGAGCGAGATTCTACTCGACCATAAGGTCATAATTGACTAATATAAGCTCGGCAATTTCAACAGGAGGTGAAATTTTTATCCAAAGTGCATTTGTGGGAATAAGGCACGATGGGAGTGCTTAATAAATGAAAATGCCAAATGCCATTTTTTTGTAATTCGGAGACAACTGTTCATTTTCATTTATTAGGCTTTCATAAACGACGAATACGCCGTAAAAAAAGAGCTAAGTAGTAGTTAGCGGCAGTGTGTTGACTAACTTCTGAACTGACTTTTTCGATTTGGACTTTTAGTGGTTCGGCATGGGGATCAAAGTTAGTGGCTCAGTCTTTGAGTCAGTTATTTTTTTTGGATATTGGTTCTCAAGCAGGGTCTTCCGGGTTTCAGTTGGTAGTAAAAGCGGAATAGTTGTCGTGAGTGGTGTTGAAAGTGAGGGTTAAGAAAAGGAGGGGTTGCTCAGCTTGGGTTCCTTCAAAGTTGGCTTCCACTTTATCTTTGAAGCGAGTGTAAAGTTTTTTTTCTTTGGAGTTGAAGAAGGTAAAGTAAGTGCAGTTGTGGGCATCTTGTAAGCAATCATCAATTATTTTGGGTTGCGATTGTCCAGCGGTGGTAGAGTTCTTGGGTTCCTTGCCGAGATAAAAAGATTGAGCACTGTTTTTAGAAAGTGTGACTGAGATGCGGTTAGTGGCTTCAATATGCTTACAAGAGACCGAAAGAACCGAAAAGGAAGTATGATCCTGAACAAGAAAGGCTTTTAAGTCAGATTTGGATACCCGCTTTATTTCGGCTAAGTCATTCAGTAATTTTTTAGGGGTTTTGGCTGATGAATTAAAACCGGTAGTTGTGTTGCCATTAAATAAAATAAATTAAGATGATAAAGATTGACCAAAAGATAAAAATAAAAAAAAAACTCTAAAATAATAATTGCCTATGGAGACGAATAGCAAATATCTAATTAGAATAATACCAAACATATATCACCACCTAATTAGCTATAAATTGGCTTAATTGCCCTCGTGGTGATGAAAATATAAATCAATTTAAAAATACTATGGGAAATCAACAATCAAACGAAAATACGAGAAAAAGTATAATAATAACAAGAACCGTAGCAAAAGAAGGTAGAGTGATGGTTGATTGTGAAATTGTAAAAAGGGAAGAGTTTTCAAGTTTTATTAGATTTCATGTAGATCAATATATTTTTTACAAGGACGAAAATCAAAAATATATAGACCTTGCTAATTCCGAACCTTACAATAACGAAAGATTTAATGAAATATTTGGACCAAAAGGTGTATTTCCATTGGACTTTACTTACACAATCAAGCACAGTCATACAAAAACTTTTGGTGTTGGAGAGTTTAAAGATTTGATGGGGGATAAAGAAGTGGAAGAGGAAGTATGAGAAGATTCAGTAGGCAATTTTATTAGTGAGACTGTGGCAAATCTTGCGGATGTTGCAGATATGCTTGAACAAAGAAACAATATGCAGGCATATATGGAGACAAGTCGTTATGCAAATAATCACGCATGAACGAAACAAACTTCTTGGGATATGCCTCCCGGTTGAAAATAAAATTATTGATTTAGAAAATGGCTTGACCAAGTAATAGTAGTATTAATATTTCGGGCGCGGGCGGGGGACAGGGGGCGTGACAAAGTAGAAGTATCTGAGGACCCTCTCCCAATCCCTCCCCCTGATGACAACAACTAATTTGAATAGTAATCTTACTACTCTTTGTTCTAATAATCTGGTTATTAGTAGAAGGGAAAAAGAGAGGAAAGAAAAAGAAGAAAAAAGTTAAAAAGAAGTTAGTTGATGATAAAAAAAATTAAGTGGGAGTTAAATGCTCCCTCTAATATCTATTCTTGGTAATATTTAGAAATTATTTGATTAGATATTGGATAAATGTTAAAAGGAAAGCCAAATCAGGAAGGAAAGGGAAAATACTATACTAATGTTATTCCTCACGAGAATAACAATTATATCGACAAAAATTTAACATATTTTGCCAAAGATAATTTTTGAACTACAAACTTTCTTACTACTGCTTCCTCAAAATTTTTGAATAATTTTTGAACTAGTCAGAATTCTTTTGTCATTGAGTTATTAGAAAATAAAAAAATATTATTAGGAAAGACTGTGCTCGATGAGTTTGCCTGTGGCGGCACCGGACTTTACGCGACTTCTGGACCAGTTTTTAATCCTTATAATTCTTTTTGTATAGGTCGTGCGGGTCTTTTTGGGAAATAATGGCAAATACTGATTTAATTTCCTCTGTTTTTTTTGCTAAAATTCCCACTGTATCCAAAGAAGAAGCCATAGGGATAACACCAGCCCGCGAAAGTAAACCATACGAAGGTTTGAAGCCAACTACTCCACAATAAGAAGCCGGACGACGAATAGAATCCCCGGTATCATGTCCCAAAGCAAAGGGAGCCAAGCCTTTGGCTACTACTCAGGCTGAACCCGAAGAAGAACCACCCACTATACAAAAAGAATTATAAGGATTAAAAACTGGTCCAGAAGTCGCGTAAAGTCCGGTGCCGCCACAGGCAAACTCATCGAGCACAGTCTTTCCTAATAATATTTTTTTATTTTCTAATAACTCAATGACAAAAGAATTCTGACTAGTTCAAAAATTATTCAAAAATTTTGAGGAAGCAGTAGTAAGAAAGTTTGTAGTTCAAAAATTATCTTTGGCAAAATATGTTAAATTTTTGTCGATATAATTGTTATTCTCGTGAGGAATAACATTAGTATAGTATTTTCCCTTTCCTTCCTGATTTGGCTTTCCTTTTAACATTTATCCAATATCTAATCAAATAATTTCTAAATATTACCAAGAATAGATATTAGAGGGAGCATTTAACTCCCACTTAATTTTTTTTATCATCAACTAACTTCTTTTTAACTTTTTTCTTCTTTTTCTTTCCTCTCTTTTTCCCTTCTACTAATAACCAGATTATTAGAACAAAGAGTAGTAAGATTACTATTCAAATTAGTTGTTGTCATCAGGGGGAGGGATTGGGAGAGGGTCCTCAGATACTTCTACTTTGTCACGCCCCCTGTCCCCCGCCCGCGCCCGAAATATTAATACTACTATTACTTGGTCAAGCCATTTTCTAAATCAATAATTTTATTTTCAACCGGGAGGCATATCCCAAGAAGTTTGTTTCGTTCATGCGTGATTATTTGCATAACGACTTGTCTCCATATATGCCTGCATATTGTTTCTTTGTTCAAGCATATCTGCAACATCCGCAAGATTTGCCACAGTCTCACTAATAAAATTGCCTACTGAATCTTCTCATACTTCCTCTTCCACTTCTTTATCCCCCATCAAATCTTTAAACTCTCCAACACCAAAAGTTTTTGTATGACTGTGCTTGATTGTGTAAGTAAAGTCCAATGGAAATACACCTTTTGGTCCAAATATTTCATTAAATCTTTCGTTATTGTAAGGTTCGGAATTAGCAAGGTCTATATATTTTTGATTTTCGTCCTTGTAAAAAATATATTGATCTACATGAAATCTAATAAAACTTGAAAACTCTTCCCTTTTTACAATTTCACAATCAACCATCACTCTACCTTCTTTTGCTACGGTTCTTGTTATTATTATACTTTTTCTCGTATTTTCGTTTGATTGTTGATTTCCCATAGTATTTTTAAATTGATTTATATTTTCATCACCACGAGGGCAATTAAGCCAATTTATAGCTAATTAGGTGGTGATATATGTTTGGTATTATTCTAATTAGATATTTGCTATTCGTCTCCATAGGCAATTATTATTTTAGAGTTTTTTTTTTATTTTTATCTTTTGGTCAATCTTTATCATCTTAATTTATTTTATTTAATGGCAACACAACTACCGGTTTTAATTCATCAGCCAAAACCCCTAAAAAATTACTGAATGACTTAGCCGAAATAAAGCGGGTATCCAAATCTGACTTAAAAGCCTTTCTTGTTCAGGATCATACTTCCTTTTCGGTTCTTTCGGTCTCTTGTAAGCATATTGAAGCCACTAACCGCATCTCAGTCACACTTTCTAAAAACAGTGCTCAATCTTTTTATCTCGGCAAGGAACCCAAGAACTCTACCACCGCTGGACAATCGCAACCCAAAATAATTGATGATTGCTTACAAGATGCCCACAACTGCACTTACTTTACCTTCTTCAACTCCAAAGAAAAAAAACTTTACACTCGCTTCAAAGATAAAGTGGAAGCCAACTTTGAAGGAACCCAAGCTGAGCAACCCCTCCTTTTCTTAACCCTCACTTTCAACACCACTCACGACAACTATTCCGCTTTTACTACCAACTGAAACCCGGAAGACCCTGCTTGAGAACCAATATCCAAAAAAAATAACTGACTCAAAGACTGAGCCACTAACTTTGATCCCCATGCCGAACCACTAAAAGTCCAAATCGAAAAAGTCAGTTCAGAAGTTAGTCAACACACTGCCGCTAACTACTACTTAGCTCTTTTTTTACGGCGTATTCGTCGTTTATGAAAGCCTAATAAATGAAAATGAACAGTTGTCTCCGAATTACAAAAAAATGGCATTTGGCATTTTCATTTATTAAGCACTCCCATCGTGCCTTATTCCCACAAATGCACTTTGGATAAAAATTTCACCTCCTGTTGAAATTGCCGAGCTTATATTAGTCAATTATGACCTTATGGTCGAGTAGAATCTCGCTCACCAGGATACAAAACTATCTCTTCTTACTTAGCCAAGTATCTCAGTAAGTCCTTCCATTTACGTTCTCTTTATGCTCAATACGGCTTAAAAGACAATCACAAAACTTATCGTTTTTTTAAAAATCTTTATGATTACCAAGAAAAACCAGCTCTACTAATCACTAAACACAAACTGGATGCCGAAACTGGTCAGCATCTCCCGAAAAATCAAAAAGTATTTCGCTATTATGACTATCAAACACAGCAAACATCCTATTTTTATCGCACCAACGAAACTTTAAGCGGCCAATGTGCTAACCCGACTCTGATTAAAAAAAACTATCGCCTTGGCACTCGTTCTTTAAACCCTTTATCCCTGCTTAGTTTAGCCACTAAACATAGCAAAAAAGAAGTTTATTCGCTCAAAAAGCCCAAAAATCCAACTGTTCAGCAGGATTTTCAGGAATTCTTAATCACCCGTCTCCTTTTGCTCTGTAATAAAGCGGAATTCCTCCATTTACCCTTAGAACAAGACCGGGTTTTTAAAGAAAAAGGGGCTTGTGACAACTTAATCTACACCCATTTTCAAACTAAACCAGTCCTCCACTTCCAATTTTTATCCGAAAACGCGGCTGTCGTGCGGCAATTCATAAATAACCTTGACACTTACGCCCAAGACTACGATATGGAAGAATCCCAAACCTTCTACTCCTACCCCATCACTCACGACACCAAACACCAAACCACTCAACAACTAGCTGGTCTTTGTGGTTGTGAAACCCGAGCCCGTAACCAATATTTAGATAATTGAACTATGAATTACTCTAATTACGCAAAATCTTACCAAGGAAGAACGCCAGTATAAGTTAGCGACACTAACTGTTAGCAGTAGTCCATGCTGTTGACGGAAACATCTGAGCCTAGTTAGTGGACTAAAAAGTCCGCAGTTCTTCTCACTCATTGAGTAGCTGACTAGGTAATCATCCCTTAAACAAGAGGGCTAAAGATTTTAAAGCTCCCGCCACTACTGGTAATACTCAATGAGGTAATAAAATAGGTGGGCGGTGTTGGACGCACACTGCCCAAATAAATCAAAAAAAATCTATGCTAACCATCCTCCTCACCCTCCTCCTCGGAATCACCCTCGGAGCTTTGCTCCTCACCATTTTATCCCTCTATCTCCTCCAAATCAAATGTCCGCAGTGTAAAAAGTTAAAACCCTGCAAAGAAATCATTCTCTTCCAGTGAAAACAAAGAATAATTACCGGCCAACCCTGTCAGCACTGCCAACGACCGCAACCCCAAATCGATATTGAATTATAAAAACATGCCCCAAGAATTACAAATTAAAACCCATATCACTGCTATTGAAGCCAAATCAGATAAAAACAATAATCCTTACTTCCGCCTCAGTTTACAAGGCTTACCTAATCGCTATTTTTACGCTTTTAGTTTCAGTTTAAACGAAGCAACCTTAGCTACTTTAACTCAGGCTCCCCACAACTTCATTAATCGCCAAGTTTTAATCACTTACCAAGAACTTCCCAACCAAAATAATCAAGGCACTTTTTGTAAAGTCCAACAAATCGAAATAGTATAAATGTTCCAACAAATCTATAAAAATGGCTGTTGAGGTTGTTTGCGAGCCATTGAAGATCCCGCCGAGCAATATGTCTGCCCCAAAGTCCAAGAACATTGAGCCGACTATCAAAAACAAGAACTAATTACTTAACAAAATAACCACAATTGTTAAGTTAGACCAATAAAAACCAACCAAATCCTAGTCTAACTTAACAAAAATGACCATTCTAATATGCCAAAAGAATTAGCAAACCAAATTGAAAAAAAACTAACAACCTTAGCCAAAGTTATTGAGCAAATCCGGAACAAAGTAATCGAACCCGATAATTCGGAAATGTGAGACAGCACTTATTACTATGACCTATCAGCCAAACTAAAAGAAGCCCTGACCTTGCTAGAAAATAAAAAAGACAAAAAACTGGATGATTGGGGCCAACCAATAATCCTGGAAGTAGGCATTTTAAGTTTACTGGACGATTGAGAAACCAAAAAAGAAGAAAAAAATGACTAAACCCCGCAAACTCCACCAACTAATTGGCACTATTAACCACTGCTTTTGCGGTCAAGTAACCAGTAAAAGCCCCTATAAAGGTCAATCTTTTTACTATTTAGAAATAAACTCCAGCAACTTATTTACCAAAAGTCAAAAAGAAACTCTTTACGCTTTTCCTAATTTAGTCAGTAAAGAAATCTGAACTACTTTAGAAACTGAAACTTATCACAATAAAAAATACCTCTTCACTTACGAAAAAAGAACCCGCGGTTGAAGATTAAAAAACTGATCGCCAATTCCTAACAAAATTAGCCATTAAGTCAGAACCAGCACTCAATTAAGAACATGGAACCAACCAAATCAGAACTAAAAATAAGAACTAAAAAAGAACTGGTTAGAACTAAAAAACCGCTCACCATTTTACCGACTAATCAATTGTTACAGCAAGTTTGAGACTATATCCTAACCAGACCCAACAAAAAAGGTGAAAGCAAAAAACCTGCTCACGAATGCTTATTCCTCTTAGGTTGAAAAGTTGGCTTACGAATAACCGAAGCCATCAATTTTGACTTAGCTTTGGAACATCAACAACCCGAATACAAAAACCTCTACTTACTCCGCGGCAAAAGAGCTAAAGAAAGATGAGTTTTTATTGCCCCAGAAATAGTAAAAGAACTAAAAAAAAGAAACTGACAACCCCAGCAAACTAATCGGATTAGTTTTTTTGATTTTTTAAGTCAAGTCAAAAAAGAACTGAACTTACCGGTTAATGTGGAATTAGCACCCCATACTTTACGCAGATGCTTTGCTACTTATCAGGCTATTTCGGGGATGCCTTTACCTGTTTTACAAAAAGTATTGGGACATAGCAAAATTTCTACCACTGCCCTTTATATTAAAGATTCTGATTTAAATAATTTGGTCAAGTTTAGACCAGTGTAAAAAAAATAAGTAAAATGACTATAAAATTAACCAACAAAAAAAAAATGTCACAATAGATGAATAAATTAAAAAAATGTTATGTTTGCTGAAAAAAACTCGGCTTTGCCAAAGTAGTTTTTAATCCAAAAAGATCTATTTGTTTAAATACTGCCACTAATCATAGTGAATGTTATGCAATTTTGCGACAATTTGCTACCTGAGGAAAATGTTCGAGCAGATGTTGTGGGGTCGGACACATGTCTGATTTTGATTTCGAGAAACATATTACAGCAATAAAAGGTGGCAAATATATCTCAAAATACACAGTTTGAGCTACCAATTTGCTCCAATAAAGTAGGTCGAATATAATTAATTAATAAAAATCATTATATATAGTTAGCATTATATTTATATCATGGCAGTAGTTATTAAACCTCATCGCTTAAAGCTAAACTTATTACCGTCCTTAGGTCTTAATCCGCTCTCAGTGGCTAAATTTTTCTATGAAAGGGGGATAGAAACTAATTCCACTATGCAAGACTTACTTTATCTTTCTTATTTAGAAGTATTAAAAAAAGAAAAATGTCTACTTTTTAGCGAAGAATTTCAAGCCTGACGAGCTGGTCCTACTTTAGGCTCAGTTTTTCTCAGAATGCACAACTATTTTCGTCGTCAGGGAACTTATCAAGGATTGTTTGACAAGTATCCAAACATAATCAACAAGCAAGTCAGCCAACATTTAGAAAACATTTATCAGCAATATAAAAAACATGAAGAAAGAAAAAGAGAACTAACTTTTGCCGAAAAAGCCAAAGATAGAGCTTGGAAAATAACTCGTAAACCCTTAAACGATAGTCTTAAATACCAACCAATAAAACTGGAAACTATCACTAACTACTTACGAATTTAGAACTAGTGCCGAAAACATTTTTTGATTTTAGTGAGATGATAATTGGTTGTCTTCATCAGGATGGTTTCACTAATACTGTTAAAAGAAACCAATTTAAAGCAATATTAGCCGAATTATTAACTGCTCTCGAGCTCTTTAGCACTCATGATTTTGAAGAAAAAGCCGCAGAAATCGACAATTGCCACCAAGTTAAAGCCGAGTATATGAAAACTCGAATTGGGGAACTGCTCGGTTGAAAAACCCAAGCCATTAATGACTTAGAACGAAAACAGATTTGACAAATCCCACTGGGTAAGGAAGCCCGCCTATTTGGCATTTTGAAAAAAATAAAATATCAGGGGGCAACTAATAGTTTTCAAGCCTTAATCTTTGATCCTAATCATAAAATTTATCGACCCAGTAGTAAAGAAACTTTTCCAATTATTGAGAACTCAGTTTGTCTTTTTGCCGAAAAAGATGAGTGCTTGGAAGTAACTAAGCAAAAAAAACTAACCAAAAAGAGAAAAAAGTTTTAAAAAAATTACGAAATAAAGTCTAAAAACTACTAATAAAAAAATAATCCCTAAACAATCTCCACTTCTGGCTTACATATTTTACAATTCTCCCACGTACACGGTCTCATCTGAGCACTTTTGTAAGTATAAGTTTCACCATTTTCTCGTTTTCCTTCTCTGACTTCTAAAAAGCCTCGTCAATGTTTACCCTCAATTTGACAACTTAAAATCTGATGCCCACTTTGAGTTTCTTTGAGTTCGATTCAAAAAATTAGCTACTTTTAACTCCATATTTTTAATTTTTAAATCGCTACTACTAGACCACTTTTAACCCCTAAGTACTCAGTGCCTGCCCCACTTTTACCTAGAATTCCCAATTCCCCTTTAGAACTACACCACAAAACGTAATTAAGATGAACCATAATGAAAGTGGATTGATTGTCAATTATCCCACTAAACCCAAAATTAAAAAAAACTCAACCCCAACCCATTATTATTTTCAATGAAAGCCAACCATTACACTCAGCAAGACATTAAATTAGCCTATCAGTTAGTCCAAGAAGACTTGATTAATTCACTACTAGCCATTAAAGATGGCCAAAGTATTAAATTAGGTCGCTTAGGTAAATTCACCAAAAAAGAACGCAAACAAAAATGTGGTTGAGATGGTCAAAATTATGTTTACTGCCGCTTAAACTTTAAACCGTTTACCAAGCTAAAGCAAGCTCTCAATGAACAGATAGTTAAGAAATACCAACTAAAAAGTAAAAAGAAATAAATCAGATGGATCAGAAAATAATTTTGCTAATAGTAGCAGCAGTTTGTGTAGCACTTTATTTTTATGGACAACATTTTAAAAATAATGACTACTTAAAACACTTACCCACTGTTGACGGTTTAGCTTTTGGTCTCAATACTTTAATTAATTTAGCCCAGTAATATTATGCCTTTATTTGAAGAAAACAAAACAGCTAATCAGCACGACCAACCAGCAACTAATAATGGTGAAATTTGTGGACAAAAAAACCAACTGCTACCACTAAAAAACCCGAATCCAACTTAATAACTATCATTGGCCAATTATTGCCCTTTGCCCCCTTGGCCTTTGAACAGTTCACTGGTCAAAAGATACCAGCTATGACTGGCACCATGGCGGAAATCCAATGCGCCCTGAC